AAAATAAAGAAAAAGAAAAAGGGGGTGTTTAGTACATTACACACTGGAGAAAACAAAACAAAAATAAAATAAAATAAAAACAATTGGAGAATTATACGTCATTAACGATAGTAAACGTGTTACAAGCAGACAAAGCTTTTTTAAAGATTTTTTGTTCTTAGACAATTGGATCAGTGAAAGGTATTGCTCAAATTCTTTCATGAAAACAAAAAAAGAGAGGTCTGGGTGAATATTTGCATCTGTGAATGTGCAAGTTATTTATGAGACAGGGAAGTGAAATGTTTGTAGGCCCACATTGTTTAGACGTGATGTTTTGGTTTTAACCATAGACTGTAGGTTTTAACCACTAGTCTTTGCCTGAAAGAAGAGTCAGGTTCAAAAATGAAAACACTGCCGCCATCTGGTTATCCTTGAAGGAAAACGACCCCCTCTCTGCTGTTTACGAGAAACGGCGTAAAAATGATCTTTTTATTATTATAATTAGTCTTCTTATTCTTCTTCTTCTTTTGTTTTTATTGGCGGTTGGCAAACAGCTTCCGGGTGCATTACCGCCACCCACTGATCTGGAGTGTGGACTCAGGATCTAAATCACTATACACAACACCCAAAAAAAAAAACCCCTTTAAACAAAAAATCAATAAACTTATATTTCTCAAATTCTATTTATTAGTCTTGTTGATCCTAGATACTCTAGAAGTAGACTCCAACCCTTATCATCTGCAGATTTTTTAAGAATATTACTAATATTTTGCTCTCCATTCTCTCTTAGTGCATTCTTTAAAATTTCTCTCTCTGAATCATACTTCTGGCAATGCAATAAAACATGGTCTACTGTTTCTTCCTCTCCACAATATTCACACTTTCCATTATTATGCTTTCCAATCATGTATAAAGAACTGTTTAGACCAGTCTGACCATTCCTTATTCTTGTTATAACCTTCCCCTTTCCTATTTCGTCCTCCTGTTCCTATCTTTCCAACTAATGGAATATTTTTAAACAGATATCTCCCTTTGCTTTCTTTGTTCCATTGATTTTGCCACATCTTTTTGATCTGTCCCTTTATCACCACCTTAGCTTCTGACTTGCTAATATTTATATTTATGTGCTTATTTCCACTCTTCAAAGCACATTTTGCTGCTTTATCTGCCTTTTCATTCCCATCAATTCCAACATGTGCAGGGACCCACACAAACCTAACAGACAAATGTATTTGATGAATTCTGAATAATGATTGTAGTATTTCATACAATAAGTCCTCTCTACTCCTGGAGTTGCAAAATTTTAAACTCATTAATGCTGCACATTAATCTGATGCAATTACCACTCTCTCTGGCCTGACCTCCTCTACCCATTGCAAAGCAATAATCATGGCCATCATTTCACATGCATATACAGATATCATCGGTATTTCTCTTTCAAGTGCGCCAGTCTCGCGAAATAATTAGTTTTTACGTAATAGGTGAACGATTGAACGTGTTCCGTGTCACAAGAGGTCGGGTTTGATTGGTTTTCCTGACTCGTGATTCAACTCTCCAATCATTTGATCGCGCCTGAGACGCAAGCCGACCGTCCCCAGAAAGCGGAGCGTTTTCCTCGTCGGATTTCCTCAGTAAGATTTTGCTATTAAAATACGAGGTATGTTATTGTAGTGCATCTCAACTGTGTTAGGAAACATTTTAGTGTAAATGTGGTGATTTATTTGTAGAATAAAATGGTTTTCCTTTATAAAACGACGACGTCGACTGAGATCGGAGTAAACCATACACGGGGCGAAGCAGCAGCGCCAGAGGCCTGCATGTAACATGTAACGTTATCGGGTTGATTTCATGACCGATCTGCCCATCAGAATACTCCTATTGCGTGTTTCGCGTGTTTAAACATTGCTTTCGTTTTGTATGAGGCACACTGGCCAAAAACATAACGTTAGCACTCCATACAGACTATAACGCTTCCATTAAAATGATCGACGCTCGATCTGGCGATATATGCGGTTTCGTAATGGAAGCGTTATAGATAGTTGTTTGGGTATAAAGCCTCATGATCGATTGGTCATGACAAACATGTTTTTTTAAAAGTTGTATACACGATATTGCATGATTTCTGCCCTTCATTTGCAGTACACGTGCGTTAATTTTGTCAAGAGGGGAACTGAAGCAGATGTTTGGGTTAAAATATCATCTCGTGTTTTTGTGTTGACATTTAATACAGGCTAAGGCCTGCTCTCAGAATTGGCTGCTGTGTGAGGCGGTCTATTGCTGTTCAGTGGACATGTTTTGTTCAGTCACTGGATGGCGGCCTCACGTCTGAGTTTCGTTTTCCAGTAAATGTTCCCATTAAAGGGGTCATATGATGCTTTTTTAAAGATCATTATTTGGTGTAACAGAATATGTTGACATGCTTTAATGTTCAAAAAACACATTATTTTTCAAATACTGTACATTATTGTAGGTCCTCTATGCCCCGCCTCTCTCAAACGCTTAGTTTTCTACAAAGTCCCTCCTTCCGACAAGCGCAGTCTGCTCTGATTGGCCAGCTGACCCAGTGCATTGTGATTGGCCGAACACTGCAAGCACTTGTCGGAAATGTAACGCCCCTTACCATAATCGCGAGCTTCATCTTTCAAAATAAATGTAAAGACAGAGCCCGAAAGGGGAACAGAGTCGTGTGACAGACA